CAATACAGGGTTGGTCCATTGGACTGACCCTATGCACATTCAGTTAATGAGTATCCTAAGAGCTTCCTCAAACATCCTACTGTTCATCATGCTTAAGTGGATCCCATCTTCAGCATATACTCCACCCTACCTGTAAATTATCCAACAGGTCCAAGGCCAGATAATGGTCTGAGCCCTGGCCCTGAGCTTCTGTCTATGTTGTGAATTTCCGAGTGTGTAAATAAAGCAGGCAAGTTAGAGAAAGAAATTGCTATTATATTACTACTACTACTTTGTTTTCATTTTGGAAAGAAAACATTTCAAGATGTTGTGTAAAAAGGTTATTTCAATGTGGTGAATCTGGTAGTTTGAGCAAATTTAGTAGACTATTGAGAAGACATCGATAGAAGACAAAGAAGTGAAGTTTTGTTTGTAATGGGAAGGAAAGAAACTGTCAGAAGCTGTGAAAGTATCAGTAAAAAGTCTTCTTGCAATATACAGCTGTAGAGAAACTATTAAGTGTTTCTTGTTACAAGAACATTTAGGAAAGAGAGAATTATGTGTTTAGGTATCACGAGTTTAAATATGAGAAAAATTTTGGAAATTTGTTCTTTTGGGCAGAAAATAAAAACATCATATACATACCTTTTTTAAAGAACAGGTTTAAAGCTAGTGGGACAGCTTCTATGGCATAAGAGTAAATAAAAACAACAAAAATCATTGGCAAGTATCGGACATAAGGTTGAGCCCACTGCAATGTCATCTTTTGGGTCATACAGCTCGTTGTTGTTCTTGATAGCAAGGGGGTAAGGAGTTGGTGTAGCTGTGTATAGTTTAGACTAATGATATTTTTTATGTAAATTATAAGAATGGGGGGCTTCATATTCCCTGTGCTCAGGGCACCAGACTTTCTAATTCTTGTTATGCAAAGGCCTAACCACCCCACCTAGTAGGTGCTCTAAGCATTTTCCTGATACTTCTTCATTTACACCTTAATTCATTCTTGCATCTAGACCAAGAGTACATTCCCTAAAGTGGACACACATGTATTTCTATCCCTAAACCTCATATGGAGTTCTTTATACTTGTCTGCAGCTCTTCTCTTCCATTTTTACAAAAGAAAACATTAGCAACATTCCTAGCCCTGAGTATTTCATAGGAAATATTGGAATGTACCTAAATCATGCATAAATTAATCTTTTAATGGTAAGTAGAAACACTGACAGATTAAAAATAGATAACACACCAGGACAATATAATGTTTCCCCAAAGTTTTGAAGGAGTTCAAACCAGATATCAGTCTCTCTCTTTCATTGTTGATAGGTTAGTAGAAAGTGGACAGGTGGAAGAGTTACTAATGTTACTCATGTATTAAAGAGGGTGGTAAAAGTTGCCTTGGAAGTAAAAGATCAGTTAGTCTTACCTCTATAGAAGTGAAAAATTCTAGGTTGATTGAAAAAGCTTTGAATCATTTAATGAAATATACCATAAAAAAAAAGGTCAACATAGAATTACTTAACGGAAATTTGCCTCACAAATCATTTAACTTATTTCAAGGATGTTATTTGTCAATCAGATCAGTAATTCTCAAGCTTTATTAACCCAAGGACCCTTTTTAGTTTAAAAGTTTTTCATGCACTTCCAAACCTGTTGATGTTCTTTGTTTTGAAAAAAAAAAATTCCATGTACATGAAAAGCTGTATTCCAAAATTAAAAGTTTTAATTTGTATATATATATATAATTTATGATAATACTTTTAAACTATTTTATGTAATTTGTAACTATGTACTTGTGAACCGAGGG